TTCACTCTCAGGGTTTCTCCTCATTCTAGCAGAAACTCTCTACTGGACTAACCTTTGTCTCTAACTTTTCTAGAATTCTATTAGAGTGTAATCTGCCCTCCCCATACTTCACATAATTAGAAATCCCACAGTCAAACTGTGCTTCTCTCCCTCATATATGAGGGAGAGAAATTATGCCTTCGACTAATGCCTTTGAAGTTTTTTCCTTTTCTCCCTGCACTCTCAAGTGAAATATTTTATTTACTTTTATGCTGAAATCTCACAGTTTAAGCCATCCAAGATTTTCCCAAGAGAAACAATAGGCCCAAGTGATCAGCCTCTGCATTCTTTCTCTGCAGGTTGTGTGCGTATGCTTTACGAAATCCCATATTTTCTCACCAGCTAACAAACTTCCATTTTTACATTTATGATCAACCAAGTATTTCTCCTATTCTACAAGCTGCCTTCACCTTCTGCTTGATACACTGCAATAGCATTTTAGCATTCAAATACATCCTTATTTGGGCTTGGACTTCTCACTTTTACTGTTAAGGAATGGTAGTCTAATTTAAGTGACAGTGAAAACAGAGCATTTATCCTTTAAGCGTAAGTAACACTCCATAAGAACTGGACTGCATGATGACAATAAAAATGCAGTAATCAGTAGTAACTGCTAAATACATGCAGGTAAATACCAATGCAGGACAAGATGAAGCTGTAGCCAGGGACATTTAGCAAGAATAAAAAGTGTAAGTAAAAAGCGTCTCCTGGAAAGAAATTCAAAATGGAAGCTGAATGATCAAAAGTAATACTTAAAAAGTTTCTACACACAAAACTAATATATACCAGGTTTCCCTGTAAAAAAAAAACAGAACGTATTTACCAGCTGTCCACGTTTCACAGGGCTTTGATTTTATTCAAGCACAAAATTAGGATTACACATTTATTCCAATTTAGTTATTATATAAGCAAAAGAGGATTCTGCAAAAGTTTTCAATGAGCAAAAAAAGCAATTGAAAGATATACTGGTAAAGTTGGAATGCATTGTACTGATAAGACTAGAATTCATCCAACGTGTCCTTCAATTGCCTGAAGTGAGACAAAATCCACTAAGACAATGTAAACCTATGCATCCGAGTTCATACATTTTGGATACAAGCAGATGGTGTATTGGTTGAAAATAAAGAACCACCTGGACCAGCTATTTTGGTCATAAGAAAATAGCTATCTTCCAACGTAATGCAGCTGAATCAAAGGCAAACATGACCCTAGGATGAATCAGGAAAGGTTATTCTAAGAGCACAATGTGCTAGCGACATTGTCCAAAACTGCTCCTCGCTTTCAAGTAAATCAAGTTTGCTACAGTTTTCAGCTAACAAACTTTCAGCCACCACGTTTATCAGCCCTTGAAGTAAAAGAACACTAGAAGTCAACAAGAATTCAGTCTGTGATGCTGGGGAAACTGATGGGCACTGACAATGTAGCCACAATTCTTAGCAGCTTTTAAGGGGATCAGCTGAAATTTAAACAGATGCCAATTATGACAATTCCAATGACACGAAAAATCAAGAATGGTCTAGCAAAAGGAGAATGGCAAAGACTTACCTTATGTAATAAGCAATTTTTTATTTTTATAGTATTTTTATATTATTTGTGTATTTCCTTACATAATAGCAAAGACTTACCAAAGCAGAATGAAAGACAGAAAGAGGTATTACTGCTACCTATAAACCTATCCAAGAGTAAGTAAGAATGTGAAAAGGAAAAGTTATTTTAAGCTAAAAAACCCAAACCCTCAGTGTTGGCTCTAATCTGTCACAGTCTCCTAAGGTGTTCTTGGGAGAAGAGGCAGTAGGAAGCAGAAGTGTCCATTCACTTGCTCCTCTCTCAGCTCCAGTACTGGGATTGCATATCCCCATCAAGTTCAAGGTTCAGTGTCGAGACTGTTTTAACCTGATCTGAAATCCTTTCCCTGAAACTGTACTCATGTGACCTGGTAGGGATGTTTCAGAGAGCTAAAACCACAGAAAACTGAACTACCTGAACTAACTATCAAAATGAAGTTAGTTATTTTTCTACCAGTTTCCCTTTCTGAAGCAGCTCGTGATCACAAAAATCGCAAAAGCTCCACTGCTAACATTAATTTGGCAACAGTGATTTAGACCATTTTCTGCTACTGCAACCTCGGTCCTTGGCTTTCCGACCCTTTACTGGAACATCTAACTTGTAACACCACATCATGTCAACCCTAGGTCACCTTCGTGCCTGCATAAAGATTCCTTTCTGAAAACCCTGAGAAAGTTATCCTACTTTGTTCTGGTAGAAGATTGATGGGAGGATCAAAAAAAGCCATCTGTAAGAACCTGACGATACTCTTTTCACTTCTCTGACCTCCTTGAATCAACCAGCCAGGGATAATTTTCAGGTGTATGATTCTGTCAATCCCAGAGCCTTTTAACTGCATTTTACATGAACTATAGTACCGCTTTTCCAATGAAGCTTGATTAGTCCATGAGAAATCACAGACAACGTTCCAGTAGTTTTGGTACGTAGTACTTTTTTTCCCCAATATAAGTGATAAGCTAAGGAATTTCTTTTCCGGGCCACATGAACGTAAGATTTTCAGTTTTAGATTATCTCTTCTTAAGTAACTGTCAAATTTGTCTTTTCAATTTTGCTACCAATTGTACCTTTAGTGTTCTTTAACAGGACAAGGCTGCCACATCACTCCTAATAAAAGGTAACGATGTGACAAACAGCAAGTCCAAAAGCCCAGTCAGAGCTGACTGAAATCATACTACATAATCACAATAGCTTCTGACAGCAGTTCACTACCTTTCATCTGGACTCTGAATTCAGTTCTAGGGATATGAAGGAATTTTTACATTTGCAAGTCAAAACCAGGACTCTCTTTTTTTGCCTTAGGTAAGATGCAAAGACACGGAATTTCACAGATCTACTGCCAAAGACTAACATCTAGACCTTCTAGTTGCTTACGTTTTTTAAATCTCACAGTATTAACTAATGATCCTGTTAAATATCCAGAACGATGTGCTTACATTGTTATTATGTCAAAAGAAAAAGAAACTACTTTCTCTAAACCTATACTCAAAAATTAAACAGTAGCACCTATAAACAGCCCAATATCACAGAATCACAGAATGCTGGGGATTGGAAGGGACAATATCTGGTGTTTCTCCCTTCCTTACCTCTTATTTTTATTCTTGCCTACAAATGAAGCAATTAAAGTGGAAAGCTTTATCTCTGATCCAGCTGTTTACTGCAAACAGGTATACAGAAGACAAGAATAATGACTTGCATTTCTATTTATCTTCCGAATCACAATTGGTATCAGTGGATTCCCAAATTAACCAGGTCAGAACTGCTCATGTTTTCAAGCATAGTTTTAAAATATTATCACCTACAGAAATGAGTAACATATTCCAGCCAAGAACTCTGCAGAATTCATAAAAGAATTATACATTTATAGAGTAATATTCAATTATTATAAGATTTTTTGAGACGGGACAAAGATTCATACTTCACAGCAAACAAGACAGTTACAAAGGACTAAACTGATTCCAATCAAGATGCTTTAAGGAATAAGTTAGGATTTATGTAATCTGATTTTACAGTTTCTAATTTTAAAATCAAAAGGCAACTGGGAAAAATTCTGTTTATGTAAAAAGCAAAGACTTTATTCTTTTAAATTCTGTATTCTTTTATGTGAATTTTACAGGCAAAACCCAAAATATTAAGAACTAAAGCCTTAAGCTTGTACCTCAGGCAGCTATCTAACTGATTTTGATTTTAGCATGATGAAAGATGTGCCCCTGCTTCCATATGGCAGTGTTAACGCATTAACTGCCTTAACGCTCCCACCCTGCTTTCATTTTTATTAGGATGTTACATAAATCTTCTTAGACCTTCTATATTTTTAAGTAATTTTTGAAATAAAACTACTATTCAGAGAAAATCTCCACACATTGCAGTGTAAGAAACAAAATGTAAGACCAAACATCAGTGCTTTCTAATTCAATTTCTTCTTTTTTAATACATTGAAAAAAAAAAAAAAAATCAAGAGCACTTATGTGCTTCTATTTTTGCCCTAAGGTACAAATAACTTCCTGGACAATTATACTCTTCTTCTAAACAACAGAATGGCTATGGCTAGGACAATACAACATAAAGAAACAGATGAAAACTTCAAAAAAAATCAAAGCTAAATGCTTATATACACAGAGAAAATAAAAAATATAAAAAGGCTTAAGTACTGAAAGCAGTTCCTTTTGTTCGTGATCTTTGAGGTGAAAGGTGTGGCAGCTGACATTCAGCTCCAAGTGCAGCTATGACAAATGCAGCTTGACTGAAGTAGACTTCTTACTGAATTTCTTGGTTATCTTTTTGTTGTCGTCTATCATCAAAAATCTTTTACAAAAATCATATATTACATAATCCCCTCCGTATTATCTATCTGAGCTGTCATACTGATGCATAAAAACTGATGGGCCAACTGCTACATGCATTTAGTTTATTTTTTTGACTGCATTAAAACTTCAACAGCTGACAGCCTTTTATTTTAGCTTGCCTGTGTTCAAGCATAACCAATACCTGTGCTGTGTGCAGCATAAGCAATTATTTTCTTCTGGGCTTCCTAGAAACTACACGTGTTTTATTTCTTTAATTTAGTTTCTGCAGAATTGAGGGATGAAATCTAAAGAATAATAGCATGTTCACGTACTGCTACTTTTTAAGTGCATCCCCTGTTTTCTTCATTGTATTAACATTGTAACAGTGTTCTGAATTATCAAAATTGACCCATCACTATTCCCACGCCCCAGTTATTTTTAGAGTGGTTGTCACTATTAAAGCCTGAGTGCATTTGTTCTACTTTGCTTTAACCTGTTAATTTGCCTCAGACCACAACACTGAAAGAGTTCAGACACTCAAGTAAATTCCTACACAGCTGTTTTTCAACTGTAATCCAAACACCTATTCTAAAATCAGAGATACCAGATTAATTCAGAATTAAATTTATTCCTTCATCATCTGTTGTCTATGCAGATACATGCTATACAACAGCATGTCAGGAGCTCTACAAACAAATACACTGTGCGGTTTATAAGCTAAAGATTGGCACAGCAAATTAATTTTCAGCCATTACTACCCTCCTCAGGTATTAGAGCAGCAACTCTCCAGTGCAACCACACAGGCTGTTACACGGCCACCAGAGATTTGGTGAGTATCTGTTATACTAACACATTCTTCCTACTCAGAAGTATGTATTTACCACAGTGGCCTATGTGGCTACAAGAGAAATATGTTCAAAAACTAATGCAGAACAGCTCTGGGACCAAAAAAAAAAAGAAAAAAGAACAAAAGAAAAGGAAGGAAAAAAGCCTCAGCTAACAGAGAAGCCATCTTGATAACATCAAACTTCTAATCACAAATGCTTCTTTTCTAATGACTCTCTTGATTTCCTAGCTCTTTTTGCCTTTGATATATAACAGCAACATGAACCAATCAAGGAAATATTCCCCGAGTTTGTCAGCTGTATTCAAAGAGATCTGTAAGCCCTCATATGTTCCTTTCTGCACAGACTTTGACATTGGTCATCTTGGATGCAAACTACCAAACAAAATGCCACAGACTACTTAAAATTCCCAGTGCTTTCATTCCGTTTCTGTTACATGTAAGAAAAATGAGGCTGCTGGTAAGGAGACTCCTATTAATTCTTATCTAAATTTGTAATGTAAAATTGGTTATTTTTAATTTTATTACACAGCTTTCAATTGACTATTACAATTTCTTTCTTACTGTGTCTAAAGAAATAAAGTTATATTTACAATACCTTGAAATGAACAATGTGCTTCAAATCATCAAGATAATATTCTTTGATTGCATAAGGTTTGCCTTCCACCTTAAGTATACAGGTTGGATTCAGACCATTACAATCTGGAAGTGCAAAATAATCAGCAAATTCTTTACAGTTGATGGAAGCAGACATCAATATTACCTGTTAAAAAAAAATTGCACAGAAAACCAATAATGTTAACACAAAATGCCATGCTACACTGGAATCACCACCTATTCTTTACACTAAAATGGTCTAATTTTGGTTACTACAGGCATGTATCCTAGGCACGTTTAAGATAATCAAAGCTAAACACTTAAGATTCCCTAGGTATCATGTGGAGAAGGGTAAGCACCTGTCAGAGAACAGATCAGGCCAGATGCCTAGGGCAGGCAATGTAAAAAACTTTTTCCTGTGGTAAAAGTTCAACCTAAAAACATATAATACTCCTCCTTAAGCTTATGATCTCCACATAGTCCAAAAAAGAAAAAAGTATACTTTAAGTATTTTCAATTCCTATTTTACTAAACAGATATCAGTGCCTTTAACTCCATCAAAAGATGGGCTTACTCCTATAAAAGCAGTAACTAATTATAATCCAGCCTTAAAAACATTATTATAATGATTTTGAAATATGTCAAATAAGTTTTATCTCAGTTTCAAATAATTTATGCAACTCAAAACTCTCAAGAATCACACTAAACTCCTCGCTCTCTTTGCGGACTCTGCCAAGATTCTTCATCTGTGTTCACCTAAATAGAAGAGCAGAAATCACATTTGCTACCAGGTGAAACCTTTTCTTCCAATTATTATGAAGCTGTGTTGTTTTCTCCTCAGACAGACAGCATGATATGTGCAGAATTGAAGAAGAATGAAATAAATTAGTGGCTATGGCTATTTACACTCTAACCTCTCTATTTGGAATGTGTTCCCACTGCTCACCACAGCCAGCTGGAATAAACCAGCTTCAACTTGAAAAAGGATGAAGGAGTTATAATCAACTGTGTACCGTACAGCTTCTTTATCTTCAGGTCTCCCGAGCCACTCTAAGCAATATTTGTAAAATGGGACACAGTCAGTCCTCTTTTGCTTTCCCGACACCTTGCATGAATTCAAAAACGAATGAAATGAAAGGCATCAACACCAAAAAGAATGAAATACATGAGCATTCTCCTTCTGAAGCGACAGGCAGGCAAGATAACGCAGTGGGCATTGTACCACTGTGCTCAGCTCCAAAGCATATGTGAAGGCACGTGGAGTATGTGCAGAAGGCCAACTAAATCATGAACTCATTTACCATGATCCTGAAAGGAGAATTCTGCAAATATATGAAACCTGTCCCACTACAGCATGAACTGCCTCATGGCTCAATAGATAGTGGCTCACCTATGCTAAGAAAATAGGCTAAATGTAACCTTGCCTGAAGGCTATTGAAACAAAACCCAATATAAATTATCCTAACTGCAGTTACAGGCAAGGAATATTAAGTTACCTCTTCTTCTAGACAACCTTTGTAACTTGCACTCTGTAATCCATAAGAAGTCCTTCCAAACTAGAAGGAAAACCATAGGTTCCTAACAGAGTGCCCGAAGGATCACATTACTAAAACAAGAGTTTAGTAAGATCTACTCCCAAAGCAGAAACTCAACAAGCATGTATCACCAGCAGGGCAGAGGAACACATTGGAAAAGAGGGTAATCAAAGAAGAGAGTTCTTCAAGTCAAGATCAAGCACTCTAACAACACTTGTGTGGTGTGGATATGTCTAAAGCCCCACCATATGATTCCGAAAATATGCACATTGAGAACAACTTCTCACTTCAGTTGTCCCTGAATGGCAATTGGCTAGAACCTGGAAGTACGACTATATCCTGTTCTTATTTTCCTACCTAAGCAGCTGTTGCTAGTCACTACTGGGAATTGCGCTGTTTGGTTTGACCCAATAGAGCCATTCTTATAGTCAACAACTCCACCCCAGCAAGACCAGCCTTAGAACAGTCAATCAAATGTCTGCTCTGTGATCTAAAGCAATAATCTGCACCAGCCATCTGTCAGGAAACTCAGCATAGCTGGTAGGTGAACCACAACAGGTACATCTTGTCCTCCATATGTTGGAATCACTCCTGCCATCCTGTTAGTTGATGCAACGTTGAATTACCTGCTACTTCTGCGGCCAGCAATGTCCAGGATAGGAGACAAACACCTCGCATACTTCTATCACTCTGAACTATAAATACATTTTTTTCCCCTTAAACAGGCCCTCCTTGCACCCTTTTGTTTCATGAATCCAAGAGGGCTGGGAGGAGAATCTTGCATTTTCTGAATGAATTTGCCATATGATCAATGCTCCCTTTCCTTTAGAGTGTTTCAAAAAGGGCTAAAAAGGGATGAAGTAGGAGACATTCGACTCAGTGTATAGATTCAAACTGAATTAACAGTTCCACTCTGCTAAAACCCAGCAACTGCGATCAAGAGTTCCCCCCTCTCCATCACAGAAAATTCAAAGGGACACACACATCCCTCCATAAAATGTAAGATGGTCTCAGATTTATGCAATACGAAACCGTCATCTGAAGAAACAACTGCAGAGAAGGATATAAACCAGACAAAGTTTTCCCGTGACAACTTTCAGAGATTTAATCAGAATTACAGAAGTAAAAAAAAAAAAAAATAAATCTTTCATGAACCTATAAAAGAAAAATGTTTCACAAAAGATGACAGGACCTGTAGGGATTCCTGCCATGGACAACAACCAGACAATCAGCATCAAGGGCAAGCTTTTCACAAATTGAGTATGACCAAATTACTTGGTATTCTTGGTAAGCAGAGCCAAGTGCTAAGAAAGGTTGAATAGCTCCACGGTACTGTGTCTGAATTTAAATTTAGTTTTCTTATTGGGAAGAAAAGGGATAAAAAGTAAAAGATGTGAAGTGCACAGACAAGCACGCTCTATGACACTGGAAGGGCACTTTCAGTGAGTGAGAGTATGCTTAGAGCACCTAAAGACCAAGTTATCTGAGTTTGAATCAATGCAGTGGATTGTACAGAAGAAAACTGATTCCCTTCCCACAGCAACAAAAACAGCCAGTGTAGATTCAAGTTACATCTGTTTTGAACAGAATAGTTTGCCTTAACTGAACAACTAACTGAAGCACTTAAGAGATGTATAGTCTCACAAAATTTCTGCAGCCCCAAATAGTTTCACAGAATTATACCTAGTTAGCCTAACTCCATCACCTGAATGTCATTTCTTGCAATACAAGAGTCCATTACTTTGAGACCACAAAGACTAAATAGGTCATGCTAAATCTCTGCAAACTCTGCTTTAGTACAAAGCACAGTTACCTAACAGGCAGAGAAAAATCTCAGTGGTCTTTTGCTAGCAGTTCTGCCTAGAAATTACAATACAGCATTTCTGGCTTTTGCTGCTTTTCTAAAAATGATGTCCCATTTGAAAAGCAGCTCAGTATTTCCAAGAGTTAATGCTACCGTATTTAACCAAGGATAAGCACTGCCCTCAATACCCAATACGTAATTCTAGTCAAATATGCATCTTGCATTTTTTAGCCTTAAGCAGACTTTAGTAACTAATGCATTCTAACATGAGGAAAGAAAAAGTCTCTCACAACACACTCTAGCAGCCAGGAAAAGAATGCCTTTTAGCTTGCTTATTTATGAAGAGCTGCAAACTGTATAATATTTTAATAAAAACATAACAATGTATTTTAAAGTAAGTTTTTAAAAATACGTTCTTTGTAGATCAGAAACATGTAAAAATTTATTATTGCAAGAAAAAGTAGTAAAATATACTTTGAACCTACCTTTACAGATTGCGAATTTGAACGCAACAGTTTACGGATCACCAAGAGCAAGAAATCCATTTCTTCTGTACGTTCATGCACCTGGAAGACATTATCCACAATTTAATTTTCATTAATTCATGCTCTTCTTTTGACAATCTCTTCCTTTACTACTCACTTTCATGCTTTATTTTCGTAACTCGGAACAACAATACATTTTCATAGAAGAAAACACATCTTTTAACACTATGCATGTTAATCACGTTTTAAAATCCCAACACAGCTTTTCAAATGACTACAGCAGCCTTTGGGAAAACCATACGCCACTATTAAGTCATGAAAATTGTAGAATGACTAGAAAACCAATTGTGAGCTCTAGCCAGTAGTTCTACTGGAGTTGACAATAGCAGCTGAAGTGATACTGAAGATGGATAAGGTAATTGTACTAGTAAGTTCACAAACGATCCAGGCAAGGACTAAGTCAGCTTGTCTAAAAGCTAAGCAAATTGAATAGATTCCCCATATTCCCAATGGCTTCTAGCTATGATCAAAACACACAACTGTGTTCTAAAACATTCTTTTCTACCCGATTCTTTATATATCCTAGCACCTGACTTTTCCGGTTGCTCCTTGTAGTTCAATAAATACTTCTCAACATTACTGACGATGATAGTTATCACTTTCTAGAACTATTGCAGTTTAAACATATTAAGTGCAGCAGCTTTTTCCAGAGCTTAACCTTCAAAGGTCAACATTCACCCCCTGTAAGGTAATCAGCATATTCTAACATAACATAAAGATATATTCAATATTGCCTCCTTACAAAAAAGATTTAGCTACAGCAGTTTTCAGGCTCACAGCAAGATCTTGCTGTAAGAAGTCACAGTTTTCAGACAGCTTTGCTCAGCTATGTTCCTAAATGCCTGCAAGTATTCTGACAGGGCCGAGATCTGCAATTAAGAATGAAGTGGAGAGCACGTGGTTGCTAAAATCATAGAATGGTTCGGGTTGGAAGGGACCATTAAAGGTCATCTAGTCCAATACCCCTGCAATGAGCAGGGACACCTTCAAAAAATGGTTACTATTGGGTCAAGATCACAGCATGTGGGGGAAAAAGTGACATATTTGGAACAGCAGGGATGGGAATTTTGGCTGAGGAAGAAGCAAAAAACCCACATACAGTCTTGAAAGCTAAGAGCTGCTGAAAGAAGCGGTACAAGCTGAAATCATTAGTTCAAATTACAGCACCCAAGCAAACAAGGTTTTTAAAACCTCTGAATAAATCTGTTCTGCATAAGGGGTCACAAAACTCTACTCGTTCATTTTCATGCTTCAAAAAGGAACAATCTAATATTTCTCTGTGTAAGCAGCTGCTATTAAACTTTTGCATCTTACATGTAATCTGCATTTCCTTATTTTAGGCTTAAAAACGTTAAGATTTGCAAGAGCCTGCTGATGCATTAGAGTGATCTCAATTCTTTCCCACAAAGACAACTGGTACAATTCTTTAGGATTTAGATCTTTTGGTTATTTTTTTCTGTTTGAATGAAGTCCTAAAGTTTCTTCATACAAAAGCCTAACTATTTGCTTAATCTTTCCCAGTTTTTCAATGTGCCATCTCATGCACAGCCACAACAGCTTTTATCATTACTGTAATGGTCTAATGGTGTACCAAGTACTGCCTCCCTGCTCCCCAAATACCTATATCTGGATACAATACCATAAAGAAATAAAAATTAAAACCAACATGAAAAAGTCTTCTTCTGTGCCACCACCTCCCAAGATTTAGTCCTACACCTTACATGTGATTTATATTCATGGTTTGTGAAAGCACAATTTCACATCTGACTATATTTAACAGTCAAATAGCATTTACCTCAGAAAATAAGCAGAAAACCACATAAAAATATATAAATTACAAAAAATCCCACAGGTATACTTTCTTTAGCTTTTTAGTGAAGTGACAGCAATAATTATGAATCCACACAAGTGGACTGTAAATCCACCCAGAGGACAGAGAATATTCAGACGGCTATTTTATTTTTCAGGACATCTGTGAAGGGTAAAGACTCTTTTTAAGGGCAGTCACAGCCAAGAGAGTAAAAACTAGCTGCCTCTTTCTCATAGGCCTAGTCAGAAACATTCTTGGTATCCAGGCAGTGGATTTCAGAAAACATCTCAAGGTGTTCATATCAAAAGCTAAGCACTCTCAAACATCCCTCCCACACCCTCAGTTCTAAACTTCATTGCTCAAAGGAACATCGAGACAAGTCTATTTGAAGAAGGGTTAGCTTGGACAACTTATACAAAGCATCTCCACAAGCAAATGTCTGCATTTTTCTCTCTCTAGCATGGTAAGAGAGACAAAGAAGAAGGTTTTCTTAATACGAAATTCAAATTTATTTCCATCAACTTACTTCATCAATGAAAATGTGTGTGAATTCATCTAGACTTTTGGCACAAACTGCTTTCTGAAGAAGAACTCCAGTTGTCATGTACAGCAATCTTGTCTCCTTTGAGGAAATGTTCTCTAAACTTACCTAACACAATGAGAAAAATATAGATGTGAACACACAGTTAACGTATTTACAAGAATTATGTATCTGAAAGAACTCTAAAATGAAATATAGTGTAAACCCATGAGAATTATTAATTCAAAATTGTAAAAGCCTCTGTAGAAATGTGTTTTTAAAGCTCAGAATCAGTTAATTCAGGAAGCAAAAATTTTCTTTGAGATAAACTAAAAAACCCATAAGTTTATTTTACAAAGGATCAAAATTTCTTCCTGGGGGCTATAGCCTGAGAAGAATTCTTCAAAGGTTTTCAAAGGTACACACATGGATCTTTCCACTAAGAAAGAAAAAGATTTTGCCAAAATATAATTTGCTTACTGGACAGGAGAAAAGTAAAGAGGTATAAGATATCAGTAAGACCAGGCAACTTATTCTTGAGAGGAAAGTTCTACAACCCTATGTTAAACAATAGAATTATGATTTCTAAAATACTTCTGCGACTTTAGCTATCTCAGCTGCTGCCTACCCAGGCAGGTTGGCAGAGTCATGACCATCTTGTCACTTTCTGCTTTTAAAACAGCCTAAAGCAGACAGGCCTACACTCAACTGTTCTTCTACTTCCATTTCTGCTCAGTTCACACAAGTACTTGTAAAACAAACATGGCACATCCACATCCACTGTCCTGAAGACAGTTTGGAAGCGCGCCACCATTTAACATCTTTAAGACTCACTACCCTAATGAATGAATTTTGCCATTTTATGATTATTTAATTCAAGGTATCGAGTCATATCAAACGCTTTGTTTAGAAACTACCTCAGGGAAAAAACCCACATATATAACCCCCAGTAATTCTACAAAGCAATAACTGGAAGTTATTAGTATTGGCTTAGTTAAGATTTGAGATAATGCCAGATCATAATTCCCACATAGTTATTTAGAACGTTCACCTCTCAGAACTGAAACTTCTTTGGTAAGTGACTGAAGGTGAAGAAAATTTTTACTTCATCTTCCAATCTACCTGTGGAAAAATTAAACTTCAAAGTAGTGTTAAAAAAAAAGAAAAAGGCAGAAGTAATTTTTCCTACTACAGCATTTGCTGTACATATATAACAAGAAGCTGCCAAGATTTGACACTTAGACAAAGAACAAGCAGTATTCAGTAGGGATGACAATAAAGATCCTTTTGATGTGAAAATGAAGCTGATGTACCTGTGTAACCCTGTAATATGGTATTGTTAACACCAGTAGCAGGCCATAAGCTTTGTGCCGAGTATACCTGCCCTCGTGACTAAGGCATGTCCGTCCTGCTCTCTCTGAACCTTCCTTCACCTGCCTCTACCTGTGCTTCACTTGGTTTAGCTGTGACATCAATTTAGTGCAGCACAGAGATATACAGGCCTAGTACAGTAGTGGAGACCTTGGGAAGTAAAGACACAGGATGCGGAACAGAAGAAAGCAGACACGGGATAAGAGACGAAGGAGAAAGCTTGCCACTGTAGGCCCCATGCCAGAAACAATTCTAATGGTCTGTTAAAACCAAAACTCCTCAGGCCTGGAACTGGGCAAAACTATTTTTATGGGTAACAAAGGGAAAGCGTCTAACATACATAAACGGCACCACACATAGTACATTCAGATGTAACCCAGAGCTGCAGACCAGTGAAGAAAAAGAAAGATGTAAATGCATTTTAGCAAACATATATGACCTTAAGTGGAAGAGGAAGACAAAACCAGCATGTATTCCTCTCAGCAAAGGATTCCAGAAGCAGACAACTCTCTGTAAACATCCTCCCACTCCAGAGAAGCTAGTCCAGAGACAGCCATTGTCATGCTACCAGTGAAACAACAATCACAGCAGTTTATTGTGTTTACTGACAAAGAGCTGATTAAAGCACCAGTATCTCTGCCAAAAGAAGAAAGTGGTATCAAGTTTATAAATGGAGCATAGAACTGAGTTTGAGGCTGTTTGACAAAATGATGGGAGGAGGTAGATTTAAGAGGAAAAAACGGTTCTTCACGTGTTAAGAAGTGACTGGACATTCATGAAACAGTCTGGTCATAAACGTGCAAAAGTTTTCACATAGCTGACAGGTAAATGTAGTTAAGTCAAACATATCAAGTATGTTAATTAAGGAGTTTAATGGAAAAGTGACAGAATATAGTTCTCCTGCAAACAATTTTCAATGATTAATAATATAGATGTTTCCAATTACCAGAACACAGACATTTAAATATTTATGTTGAAGTCTCACTAGCATTTATAGTTGTTCAACCTTAAAAGCCTAAAAATTGAATTATGAACGTTTAACAAAAGACAGCTAAAAATCTGCAATTCCACTTCAAAAGCAGATTCTCTAACATTTGTTCAGTATGCTAGAAATACTTAAAAGTAATCGAGAAAGAGAATGTAGTACTTTTTAGTGTATTTTTAAATACATTTTGAAATGTTCTTATACCTGGTATCCTACAAGTTGACCTAGCGTACATGATCGTTCCTTGCAAATCCACCTGGCAATGCTGCTGGCACAAATTTTCCGAGGCTGGGTAACAGCAATGTTGCAGTAGATCGACTTCTCAGTGCAATAATCCAAAATATATTGTGGAATCTGCGTACTCTTACCACTGCCAGTTGCTCCTTGTACAATCACAACTGAACTGCTTTCTATCAGAGACACTATCTGAAACAATTTTTCAAGAAAACTTGTAAGTCTACAAAACAACTCAAAACAGATTTCAAAATGATTTGAAATATGTGGCTTGCAAGATATTAATATCAAAGCTCTGTAAATCATTGTGCTATATTTTCTATCATCTCCTAGGCACTTGTAGATAACTAGATTCCTAAAATGCATTAGAATATCACAGAAAAGAACATGGGCACACACTCACATATTTTACAAAAACACCTATAAACAGAGAGTATAACAGCAACGTTTCTCCCACTAAGAATTTTCATACAATGGTTTTGTATGAAAAATTTTTGTACAATGCTTAAAACAGGAACAGAAGTTTCCTTCAAAAAAAACCCAAAACTAACAAACAAAAAAAACCCCACACTACAAAAAGAAAAGAAAACAAAACATGATTTTCAGATTTATTCCATAATGAGAGAAAGTACAATGAAATTACCTCTTCCCTGTGTTTGGCTATAGGCATATCCACACATTTATAGTTAGATGCTGGTACAGAAGTCAAATCACTTGATTCACACTGAGACAATGAAGTATCTAGGCATAAAAATAACCAAGAGTGAGTTGATTCAGGAGAGAAAGGCAAAGACCAGCAGGAGAACATGATTACAGTATTTGGAAACCTAACTTCTACCAATTTTGAATCACGTACTTAGGAGTATTAATAGAATTAATGGTTTTTAATATTAATAGATTGACGGGATAGTATCTGCTTATGCAGCTGCTGTTTTACTGACAGCAGCTCTGAAAGAAATTACTTTTGCTTATAAGTCACTGTCAGTGTCAAGGATGTACACAATTCTGTAATTCTGTATGTTTTTCTCTTAATTACAAAAAATGGCATTTTTGCACAGTTTGCATTACAAGTGTCAAACCTACTCCTGTTCCCAAGATCTTTTTTGACAATATTGAAAAAATATGCCTTATTCATGTACCTATGTGTTGTTTCCCTTAGAGCCTACTGGATTCACAGTACAAAATAACTCACACTTTGTATAAAAGACCACTATATTTCTACCACTGGGGCTGTTGAGCCAGGAGAAGAGAAGGCTCTGGGGTGATCTTACAGCAGCCTTCCAGTACCTAAAGGGGGCCTACAGGAAAGCTGGAGAGGCATTTTTACAAGGGTATATAGTGATAAGACAAGGGGCAACAGCTTTTAACTGAGAGAGGGCAGATTTAGATTAGATATAAGGAAGAAATTTTTCACTCTGAGGGTGGTGAGGCACTGGAACAGGTTGCCCAGAGAAGCTGTGAATGCCCCATCCCTGGAAGTGTTCAAGGCCAAGTTGGATGAGGCTTTGAGCAACCTGGTGTAGTGGAGGGTGTCCCTGCCCATGGCAGGGGGCTTGGAACTAGATGATCTTTGAGGTCCCTTCCAACCCAAACCCTTCTATGACTCTACGATTTAAAACAAGTCTGGTTAAGCATCATGATGATCTTTCAATGCGATCAGACTACATTTTGCAGTCTCTTGGCAGGAGTTAAGTCAGTGTTAGCAATGGGAAATACAGGACAAAAATCTTACAGTGCTACCATGAATTTCTGCTCAGCAGCCTGCTGTCAGTTTGAACATCAAAAACAACTAAAAAGGTGTGGAGGCAGGTGTAGAAGGTGAAAACCAGGACAAGACTTCGTTAAGTGATGATTTTGCAAGTTACATTTAAACGATTCGGCTAAAACAACCCACTATACTGAAATCAAAAGTGGACATGCTTTCTATTTCAAATGGGTTTCACCAGGTCCTATGGTGAAATTTACTTATTTATTTGCAGAAAAATAATAAAAACTTTAAGAAATACATACAGTACAGGGAAAGAAATCTAGTATACTTTTTACAAAGGAAACAGTTTCTGTAAAATAAAGGCTATAAACTAAATAAATAACTACACAGTTACAGCTTCCCTTCTTTGGAAGGGTTACTAACAGTTTAACACAGCAGTGAAGCAGAAGCAGGCTGAATAACTTCTTTTGTCTCTGTGCCATACCTGAATCATAGAATCATAGAATGGTTTGGGTTGTAAGGGACCTCAAAGATCATCTAGTTCCAACCCCCCTGCCATGGGCAGGGAAAACCTCCACTACACCAGGTTGCCCAAAGCCTCATCCAACTTGGCCTTGAACACTTCCAGGGATAGGGCAACCACTTCTCTGGGCAACCTGTTCCACTGCCTCACCACCCTCCGAGTGAAAAATTTCTTCCTTCTATTTAATCAAAATCTGCCCTCTTTCAGTTTAAAGCCATTGTCCCTTGTCCTATCACTACACACCCTTGTAAAAAGTCCCTCTCCAGCTTTCCTGTAGGCCCCCTTTAGGTACTGGAAAGCTGCTATAAGATCACCCCGGAGCCTTCTCTTGTCCAGGCTGAACAGCCCCAACTCTCTCAGCCTGTCTTCATAGCAGAGATGCTCCGGCCCTTGGATCATCTTCGTGGCCCTCCTCTGGACTTGCTCCAGTAGCTCCATGTCCTTCTTATGTTGGGGACTCCAGAGCTCAACACAGTATTCTAGGTGGGGTCTCAACCTGCTGGCCACGCTCCTTTTGATACAGCCCAGGAAACAATTTGCTTTGTGGGCTGCCAGTGCACATTGTCGGCTCATGTTGAGCTTCTCATCCACCAGGACTCCCAAGTCCTTTTCCTCAGGGCTGCTCTCAATCCATTCTCCGCCCAGCCTGTACTTGTGCTTGGGATTGCCCCGACCCACGTGCAGGACCTTGCACTTGGCCTTGTTTTACTTCATGAGGTTCTCACAGGCCCACCCACCTCTCCAGCCTGTCAAGGTCCCTCTGGATGGATGTGCTCCAACCCCCCAAATTGTCTTCAAGTCTCAAGGAATACAAAATGAGTTATTCCCACATTGAAACAAATCCCCCAAAGCTGGACAGTTCATTAAGACAGTTCCATAAAGGACTAAAAATCAGACTTCTCCTGAAGTCACACTGGCCAACAAGAAAGGTTCTTTACCTAGATTCTGTGTAACACAGCAGTTATAGATGACCATTGCACAGTGATTTACTTAGCACTACTAAACACATATGAAACAGAATTTAATATCAGCATCCCTGGAAAACATTGTCTGTCCTCTTTAAAATACTTTTGATCAAGTTTCTAAATATATTCTCCCGGAAAACTCATATATAGTGTCCTGTCACAGCAACACTGTACAAAGGCTGACTGACTTCCCTCTGGCACAAACATGTCACTACTGAGACATCAAAAGCTCTGCATGATTTGACCACTGCTGGAAGAAATCTCAAGCTGCTAGGGAAAAGATCCCAGTGTCAGCATAACCCTGCTAAAGCAACATTGCCTTCCCACCTCTATCGGGTTTTCCACGTAACAATTGCAATTTTTAAAAATGTGTTAAAAGTATACAACAGAAGACAGCAGAGTTCTATAATAGTACTTACAAAAAAGAAGGGAGGGACAAAAAAATTTAAATGGTAGGATTCACATTATAAGCTTCTCTAACTCAGTAAAAACCCAGTGTATTAATAAATCATGAGCTTAAAATTAAATTAAGAATTTTATTTTAAAAATACAAAGGAACAAACCAGAAACAAACAAACAACGACCAGTATGCATGTACCTACTGAATAATCAGACAAATCTAATCAATTTTGAATATCTCGTTTTTCTCACTGATGAAACGTAGATTCTTTTTATATGACAATTCTATGACAGCAATATCTTACCTTCTCCTAAGCACAGAAGTTTAGAAAAAAATCCTACCAAAAGTAAATGATGATCCAATGTTAGTCACCAATGATACACAGAGTTTGAGAACTAGCAGCCATTTCACCGTTTAGTTGATGTTGCAAGTACTAAAAACTGTATGGTTTGGGTTTTTCTCTTCAAGACACGTACTCTGTGCTTAAACTGAAAGAAATATTACTGAGTTTGCCTGGGGAACTAATACCATGACAACTGTGAGACTCCTGTCTAAAGCAGACAGTACAGTCCTGGGCCTCAGAGTAAACTGGCAACTTCATATGAACACCGACATGCCCAAGCAGCCATCAAAAGCTCACTCTAACAAGCTGAGGATACAAACTTTTTCTCAAAATCCAGTATGATCATTAGCGAAAAAACAAAACTGGGACTGGGAACTTGGGCAACCATCTTAGAAGTCATTAAACTTTTGCTTCTTTTTTTTTTTTTTCAACTGAAAGGTGGTGGCCTGAACAATGAAGTCTTGCTGCAGAACAGAAATATTGAATATACACCCCTATGAAAGTTCCTGCTCATTTAAAGGTTATTTATTCTGCTCATTTAAATAACCATTCAACTGTGGACTCTGTATCACACAGTGTAATTACTTTCAAATGTTGTTTAGTTTTGGATTTTTCTTTACATCTATTTATGTAATAAATCCCAACACGAGAACTGGTCTTTAGAAAAATAGATCACTTCAGCAAATACAGAGGCATCTACAGACTAAAGGATGTACAGGATTACAGACTTATCAGCAAGAAAGGCACAAAGTTTCACTTTTTCAATTGCTTGTACTTACTGGAAAACATTATTAAGACTGGGAAAACTAACCAGTGCACACCTTTGTAAGACATCATGCTCAGACGCACACCTTGGATTCTGACAAACAGAGAATGCAGGACACTTCCAGTCTGTAAACTGAAGCAGCATGCCACTGCCCACCATGCTGTTTTACAACAAGCAAAATATTTTTCTGTATAAGAAGCATTAATGCTTATCCAGAATAAAAAGTGATATTAATTTCTCTATTCAGTGCCAGCGCATAAAGAAACCAAAAACTCAGTTAGGGGAAAGATGAATTTGCCTGCTCACTTCCTTTTCCATTATTATTAAAGATCTGTAGAGGTACATTGACTGCCATGACTAAAACAGCCTACTGCCCATGCAAACAGAAATTTTCCAACATCTCAGTTATTGTAGCTCATAGGGCAGACGTATTCCTTCTGGTACATGTCTCCTGAATTGAATTTGAAGAGATCCTTTAATATGAGATAGGTTTTTTTATTCATCGGTTCTGGGAGAAGAGACTGTACAGCTGGGTCTTGGTATCTGCCACTAATGAAATTAATGATACACATAAAAAAATACATACTTTGTAAGTACATATTTAATAAGCACTGGTTAGGTGAGTCAAATGAGAGGCTTACTATGTCACTGACCATTCTTCCACTGAGCTACAAACACACAAAGGGACTACAGTTAGCAAGCGAGCTCAAGGGAAAGGAAAGCCATAGGAAACCACCAGGCTCCTACGCTGAGCCACAAAGTGTAAGGACTTCACAGTAAGTCATGCTACTGCAGTAACAACGCAAAGCACATGAAGTTGCTGCTAAATGAGCCCTGAAGAGCTCAATCCAGAGCCATGTCAAAGCTATGATCTTTCCCGACTGGGGAAAACAGGCTCACAGTTTTCTGTCTTGAAGTCTTGACTGCTGAAGGATGCCCCCAGGTAACATTAAAATTTCTAAGAAAACACCACAAATGATTAGTAGTTGCCTTTCATTCTCCGTTGCAACCCTCTTCAACTTGTGCATATTTTTAA